AACAGACCTCGATCATAGGCGACTTAAATGTCTGAAGGTTTCTTATTCCCCATTGGTGGCTCATGAGATGGACAAGCAGGAGAGTATGGACGAGCCGCTCTATAGTTTCTTTTTCTTCACAGCTTCCGAATAGATGGCTGCTATTAGATGAATTATGGGATCATGTTGACAAACTCTTGTGCTGTATGTGATCAGGCCATGCGTATTTAATGCTCACATTGTGAGTCTGGATAAGGCCGGAATGACTTTCAAAACATTATTGGCATTATAAGCTGTTCATAACTACTTACTAAGTAACTATTTGGACTCTGGTCCAAGGTCTCATGTCTTTTTTTGCTCTCCAACAGAGTTCGTGAGGAAGTCTGGGATGCAGACATGTATTGGAGTTGGATTCAAGTAAGAACTCATCCATTGAACGAGTGTTTGTTATTTGGCGATACTGAATATACTAACGCAACTATGAAAACATATGTTGAGATTATTATAATTCTTTAGAATACGTATTCAACAGAGCACGACTTGATATTTCAACCCCATGAACACATGTAACCAACCGGAAGTTACTAACCATAGGCTCTTCACTAGGAGAGAAAAGCAGCTGATCAACTGCGTAAAAGGAGCTTATGAGATAAATTTGCTCTTTTTAGAATTGAATGAATGTTTTTGTTTCATCATGTTCGGTGGTTGATGAGGTAGTTGCGTCACCCGGTTCCTGCCGCTTGCTTAACATTTAGCTCCATACAAAATCCGGGAGCTGGGCTTTTGCCGAACTTCTACCCTGAGCGTTTTTGAAGCAGCTCTCAACTCCATCTAACCGAAAATCAACTGCATCGCGAACTGCGCCCTGTTCGCCATTGCAATCCCTCATGTTGCGAACTTCGCTTCACTCTGTGAGGGCATCTGGCGGCAGGCCCGTTGTGGCCGCTGCTGCCCGCCAATGGCCAATTGCGGCTACACGGCGTGCCGGCCTTGCTGGTCAGGTAAGCTTTCTTTACAACGTCACAGCTCGTGTTAGTTGCTTTAACCAGAAATAAACTAACCGCGACGATGATTCCAGCGTTTCTACTCCGTCGAGAAGAAGCCCGAGCTCGATCCTACTAAGCAACCTGTTTTGCCAGCTTCCCAAACCGTTACGTCCGAGAGAATCCACGAGACCACCCTTGACGATGTTGGCGAGACCAAGGCCGCTATCGCAGACGTCCCTTTGACACCTCCTCCCCCTCCCCATGCGCCTGCGCCTATCAAGAAGAAGGGATTTTTCCGAAGGCTCAAGAACTTTGTCTTCACCCTGCTTGTTCTTGGTGTCGTTGGTTTCGCTGGAGGTGTCTGGTACTCTCGCGTGAGCGACAACTTCCATGATTTCTTTACCGAATACGTCCCCTTTGGCGAGCAGGCTGTTCTTTACCTCGAGGAGATGGACTACAAGAAACGATTCCCTAACATCACCGGCCGATCAAAGACTCAAGCCACCGAAGATGCTGTTCGAGTCCCTGCCCAAAGCGGTGCTTCCTGGAGAGTAGCCGATGCAGGCCAAGCCGGACGTCACTCAAGTGCTGGCCCTGTTGCTGCCGCTGCAAAGAAGGTTGAAGAGGTTGCCAAACCCAAGGCCAAGGCCAAGCCCCCAGTCGAGGCCAAGCCTGTTGCGAAGGCCGTCGAGGAGCCTACTCCTGCCCCCAGGTCTAACTCTGGTTTCAAAGCCCCAGAAGTTAATGAGCCTTCCAAGATGCCTCCTCTCAAGCCGATCGACCTTCTATCGCTTGAGGATGCAAGGGAGCCTGTTGTCCAAGACCTCGTCCACATGGTGAACGACCTCATCCTAGTCATCAACGCCGACAATGCCCATGGCAAGTACGGCACCTCTGTTAGCAAGGCTAAGGATGAGATCGCCAAGGTTGGAGGCAAGCTCAAGGCCATGAAGGGTGAGTTCGAGAAGAAGGCTGCCCAGCAAGTCAGAGAGAAGATCGAGGAGTTCGATAAGGCTGCTTCCGATCTAATTGATCGTGTTGAGAACACCATGATCAGCCAGGAGAACCAATGGCGACAAGACTTTGAGCAGGAGATGAAGAAGGTCCGAGAAAACTACGAGGACCGAGTTAATGTCCTTCTTGAGCGTGAGAAGAAACTCAATGAGGAGAAGCTCCAGAATCAGCTCGCCCAGCAGGCTTTGGCCCTTAAGAAGGAATTTACCAAGGATGTTGAGAAGCAAGTTGAGCAGGAGCGTGAGAGCCGACTAGGCAAGCTGAACGCTCTATCATCTGCCGTGTCAGAGCTCGAGAAACTTACCACAGGCTGGAACGATGTTATTGACACCAACCTCAAGACTCAGCAGCTACACGTTGCCGTTGAGGCTGTCCGAGCCAGCTTGGAGGATGACCGCCACCCTCGCCCTTTTATTCGCGAGCTCGTTGCTCTCCGGGAAATCGCTTCGGATGATCCCGTTGTCAATGCCGCCATCGCCTCCGTTAACCCATCCGCTTACCAACGCGGTATCTCTACTACCTCCCAGCTGATTGATCGTTTCCGTCGAGTCGCCAATGAGGTGCGAAAGGCTTCATTGTTACCCGATGAGGCCGGTGTAGCCAGCCACGCTTCTAGCTGGGTTCTTAGCCACGTTATGTTCAAGAAGCAAGGTCTTGCGGACGGTAATGATGTTGAGAGCATTCTTACTCGAACCCAAACATACCTTGAGGAAGGCGACCTGGATTCTGCGGCGCGAGAAATTAACGGCTTGGATGGATGGGCCAAGACCTTGAGTAAGGATTGGCTCGGTGAGGTTCGCAAGGTGTTGGAGGTTCAGCAGGCTCTCGATGTGAGTTATATCGTTTTCCATATGTTTATCTTTTCTTTTGCTAACATGATTATAGGTGATTGCCACAGAAGCCCGTCTTCAGAGTCTCCGTGTGGATTAAACAAAAAAAGGGATGTTTCATTTGTTGTGTATAATTGGACCCAGGCGCCGTCGTGTCTAGAGAGAGGCTGGATAGCCGTGTATTAGATAGCAATAGACGATGAGGGCGTGGTTACCTGATTCTGACTATTTATTATTGCCGTTAGTAAAGTCTCGTTGATCAATACAGCACCAGGGCTGAACAACTTGTTAAATCTAGTAATAAGTTAAAACTGCAGAGGCAAAATTCGACATTGTTGACAACGAAGAACACTGATCGTCGACTTGTCACAATAACAGCAAACTGCTGAATTTTGTTGTGTATGAATTGCTGGTCAACATAACTGAATATGTTAAATGGGACAAAGGGCTAGTGTAGAGGTACCACATAAGTTAGTTACACATGACGACCGAATAAGCTATCCGACTCCGTTTCTTCACCTTCGCATTAACTTGGGCATTGATTGTTCCAAGATTTGTATCATGCACTCATTTCTCAGCGAGACCCGACAACACCCGTTCCAACTACCTACTGAATGACAAAATCAGTTCACTGCTGAGAAACCAATCAACGCATACAATGGCGGCACGGAAGGGTATCAGCACCGTGTCCCGCGATTACAATGAAGCTCTCCGTCTGCTTTCGACACTTTACTCAAACCGCCAGGCCACGAATCTTTTTGACAAATCAATCGCCGCAAATGCCTCATCTGTACCACCAAAGGATCCCAATGCTTTAGCTATTCCTGAGATGCGCGAATGGCTCCGACGTGCTGGATATGAACCCAAAGATCTCGCACGTCTGAGACACATTCACATAGCCGGCACCAAGGGTAAAGGCTCTGTAAGCGCATTTGCAACGGGTATGCTACGGGAGTACGAGACTGTTGGGACTTATACGAGCCCACATCTCGTCAGTCCTCGCGAGCGCATTGCTATTCAAGGAGAGCAGGTTTCGCAGAAACTCTTCGCTGAGGCTTTCTTTGAGCTCTGGGAAAGGTTGTCTAAAGCTGCTGAGAAGGATGGCAAAAGCCTCACCGAGTCCGAAGGACCTGGCTCAAAGCCATTCTTCTTCCGCTTCATGACGCTCCTTGCTTGGCATATATTCCTGAGAGAAAAGGTCGATAGCGTTGTTCTTGAATGCGGTATCGGCGGAGAGTATGACGCTACAAATGTGGTGCCTCCCGAGGCTGTTTCTGCTGCGGTCATCACGCAGCTGGGTATAGATCATGTCGCGATGCTGGGCGACACGGTTGAGAAGATCGCATGGCACAAAGCAGGCATTCTCAAGCCAGGTGTGCGTGGTTTCGTCCGACGAATGGACGAGAAGCCTGGTGTGATGCAAGTACTTCGACAACGGGCAGCAGAAAAGGGGGCTGAGCTCATCGAGTTGGATGACGCCAGGATCGAACTATGGGGAGGTGTGAAGGGAAGACTGCTAGGTGATTTTCAAAAGTATAACCAAGCTCTTGCCGTTTGTGCTGTAAAACAACATCTAGGTATTCATTTTGATCCCAAGGACTTTTTTATGAACAGTCAAGCAAGGATGGATAAAGGGCTATGGGACGCAAGTCTCAGAGGGCGCTGTGAGGTCATTCAGCAGGGCCACATTGGCTGGTATCTGGATGGCGCGCATACCAAGGATAGCATGTATGAGGTCGCAAAATGGTTCGCTTCGAATGTTGAAAACGATGAATCCTCAATTCTGGTTTTCAACCAGCAGGAGAGGGATGCAACACAACTACTGGCAATATTGCTTGACACTCTTCAAGAATTTACAGGGAGAGAAAACATATTCAGTCATGCGCTCTTTACGAGGAATGACCAGGAGGGGCTTTCAACGGATGAAGAAGCCAGAGATCTGAGTGTGCAGACACGTGTGGCAAGGATGATGGCTGAGAGAGCAGCTAATTGTGAGGTCAGCACATTCGACAATATCCAGGACGCTGTATCTGCGGCCAGAAAAGTTGCAGGATCCCATCAGAAGGTTTTAGCAACAGGGAGCATGTATCTCGTAGGGGGTGTTTTACGAGCATTGGAGCCTGAAGGTTTATTATAAATATAAATACTCCCTGGTGTGCCGGCCAAATTAGCTCGTTCTATTATCATCAAATCACAGAGCATCGGCCTCTTCCAGTATGCCCAAGGCACCACCAACAAGATGCAAGCTTCCCGTGATAAATGCCTGAACTGCCTCCCACTCTGTGAGACCCTCTCCAAGATTTCGGACGTAGTTAATAGATTGCTCGATTGTTGGCATGACTTTTACCGTGGCTGTGGGATCAAGAGACATCCACTTATCCGCAAACCGTTGCTGAACAGTCATCTTATCAATCTCAGCAGGGTCGAATTGACGGTTGATAAAGTCACGCTTGTAGCCGGATGCTGCATAGGTGACGTTTGTGCAGAAGATGACATGGTCAAATGCTGGCTGTCCTTCTCGTCTGGTCGCCTTGAAGACGGACTCGAGAAAGTCGACAGCTTCGGAGCGGCCTTGTTGGTTGAAGATCATGACGCGCATTCCATTGCTAAATCTATTAGTTGCAGAGCAGGATAGGGTAACATGATGACTTACCGTCCAGAAGTTTCGTCCTTGAACCACTTGGACGACATCTTGAGACTATCAGAAGTATGGGCGCCATCCACGTGCCATGTCACCTTGTCTTCCTTCTTGACCTCACACCGACCTCTCCATACAACCTTTTCAAGCCCGTCTACAAACTCCTTGGGCAAAGTATCCGTCCGAGGTGGTAGAGAGATGCCAACTTTCTCCAGTGCTGTTTCGGCGAGTGCGATAGCCAATGTAGCATTGCGCTTCTGAAATGTTGCATCTGGTCGAATCTGAACACTGCTAAGTCGGGGGTCAACTGGTAGGACTTCCAAATCCACGTTCTTTTCCGAGGCCCGTTTCCTCAGAACTTCTTCTGCATCTGGCACCTGTTCGATTGTAAAAGCCGCGCTTCCAGACTTCATGATACCCGCCTTGTGCCATGCAATCTTGGCCACTGTATCACCGAGAGCAAAGACATGATCAATGCCCAGTGTACTAATGCCAGATGCTATAGGCTTCTCCACGACATTCGTAGCATCAAATTCACCACCAATACCAGTCTCATATATAGCAACATCTATGCCTTCTTGAAGAAAGACGTGCCAACTCATTAGAGTCAGATATCGCGCATAAATAGGTCGAGGAGCCATGAGTTTCTTTGCGTCATCTTTCGGTGCCGATTCAAGACGGTCCCACACTTCGAAGAAGTACTTTGCGAATAGGTCTTCTGAAATAGGCGTTGAGTTGATGCGAATCCGCTCACGAACAGCGATGAGATGAGGCGATGTGAAAAAGCCTGTCTTCCGGGGTGTGCCCCTTGTGTGCTGATACTGAGAGAGGATAGAGTCGACAAAGGCACAGGTGCTACCTTTTCCTTTTGTGCCGGCTACATGTACAATGTTTAGGCGATTGAGATCAGATGGCTATCATTTGATTAGTCTCATGTATGTATATCGTGCTCGGAGGCCTTACGGTATATCCAATGCGATCAAGATATGTCCGCATTTCCTTGATAGACACAGCATCAGGCCTTATCCCCGCCTTCCGACGAGCCTCAACGACATCAAAAGGTGTTTGAAGTGAGTTGAGCGCATCAATGGCGTCCTAAGATAAGTCAGCTGGCCATTCTTCTTGTCTTGCATTCGAAGCGGTATGAGAGGTTGAGTACATTATAGGACCGTCTTTTTGAGGCCATGGTGGATACCGCGACTCGTTGTACGGCTGAGAAACTGATAGGTTGCCTAAAAGCCCGCCATAAGACATGACGCATTGAAGTCGGCAACGTCTTGAGATGGATGTTTAAATGAAGCTGTCTTGTCTTTTTGGTGATGGTAACTCGCAGAAAGCTCGGGTAATCCACTCGTGAAATCAACGCCGTGCTATAGACGAGTTATTCGGGCTCAGTGACCGCACCATGAACTACTAATGTCGAAAGAGCCGGTGCAAGTCAGAGGTATCGTAAGTGAACCTTTTCGACTTTGCCAAATAGAAATTTGGGCTCATGAAGCGATATCGCGGGACACCAGACCCGGGATGTATCCCGCTAAGAACTTAGTGATAAGACGGGCTTCGGGAGGCGAATGCCGCTGATTGGATTATTAGCCATGGCCAAAGTAAGTTCATATAAAATTCTTCAGGAAATAGAGGAATAGGTATTTGATATTATTCTGACATTTGAACTTCAACTATGCAGTTGTGAATCGTTGTCGGTGCAGCTGCACCGACAAATACGTGACAACCCCAAGACCAACATGCATTGTACTTCGGCGAAACCTCCGAGTATCGGAGCCATCAACCGATATTGTAGTCCTCAATAACACCTTCTCTCTTCAACACCCACTTGTTCATGCCTTCTTGTAGTGCTTCAGTGAAGCCGCTATCGAATCTCTTTCCGCTATCAGCCCATGCCAACCTTGCCCGCCAAGTGAGCCATTTCTCTGCCATGACACCTTCGGGCGCTCGGATGATACCCGTAGCCAAGTCGACAACATGATGGTTCTCAGACGGCCTTCGACATGCGTGAGAGAAGAAAATAGTTGCACCGCAAGTACCGCAGAAGGATCTCACCACATCGTCCGACGATTTGAACGTCTTGGCGCTCCCAATGAGTAGATCGTCTTCGATACGGGGTTCGCATATGGATAATGGGATAAATGTCCATCCCACAACGTTAGTCCCATTGTGAAGCCGACAATCATCACATGCGTCAAAAGTCGCGAGCCACTTGGTATCATCTCTATGCGAAACGAATTGCGAATAGAATTTGTCCTCCTTGATCTCTTGGCTCGGCCGGGGAATAGTGAAAGAGATGCCTTTACACTCGCATTCCACACGAAGACGCTCCTCCCCGTCATCCCCAACTTCCATGTGAGATTCAATTATATTTGCCTCGGGGCTACCGTCAGGAGGGTTCCAGTCCATGAACTCCTTTCCGCTAGTATGTGTCAGGGCCCCGGCGATGCCCCTGTCCTTTGTCGAGTGGCTGAAGATGTGCTTCCGGACATCAAAGAAGTCTGAAGCGTTGACGAATATTGATGAAGCAACTGTCCAGAACTCATTCTCAGGCGGCCCAGATGAAGCAATGTGGCAACCACACGTTGAGCAGAAGTTCCATGTTCCGATCTTCTTCCCGATCGCGTAGCGGGTCATATTGCTGGAGGAGGATGGCTCCACGAACTTGGGCTTCACTCCATCAGGCAGCGGAGCATGGAAGATGCATGGCGCACCAGAGCCATACCTGCAGAGGCTGCAATGGCAGAGATGTGTGAGTAGAGGTAGTTTCGAAAACGGTACATCGATTGTATAATGGACAGAGCCACAATAGCACTTGGCTTCAAGGGTCTTACTTTCAACTCGTTCTGCCATGGCTCAGAAAGTTGCAGGTAGGCTTAGATGTGTAGGTAGTAAAGACTGTTCTGTTGGCGATCAGTGGATAGTGAACGAAGTTGCACGTCAGCCCGAGGCGAAAGACCTGCTGCTTTTATACGGCGACCTCTGATTGTGGGGATAACTCAATAGGCAGGTGCCGTCATACGCCGTCTTATAATTCCTTGAATATATGGAAGTGCATCTGGCATGTAACAACAAAGTTGGTCGGAGGGATTCAGGTCGATGGATTACATTTTTGCCCACATTTGAACATGTTGATGCTCTATCAGAATTCGTGACTAAAGATGGCATTATCTGTTAATGCCATAACAGACAGCGTGAAGTTCGCCTCTCTAGTATCATGGTGCACCCCGCGATTAAAGCCTTTTGACTTGAAGGGCGTGCATAACGCTAAGGCTGAGATCGCCAGGTCGTTATCGATCGTTATTTTGAATTGGCGGGCGGATGTTATTGTGGGGCTGACGTTGACAGCGAAATACTAGCCAGTCTGATAGCCGAAGTTAGCCCGTCAATCTTCAAAGGCTGGTTCCTAACTTTTTTTTTCTTTAGTGGAGAGGCTGGACCATTCATCATGACTTCAACGCCTCACAAACTTTCTTCCTCTTCTATCTCCTTCTATCGCAACGTCATAAAAGTTGCACCAGATTAGAAAAATGTCAGAGCTCTTGGACTTTGATAAGCAACAGAGGCAACTGGAAGATGATCTTAGCAAGCTGCAGAATGCCCTGAAGCATTGGCAGACCTGGCACGTTGAGTATGAGATGCTCAAAGAAGAGGTCCAAGCCGTTTGCAAGAATGGCGAGACGGAGCTTAAGACTATTCATGCCGGATTCGAAGGAGAGTTGTTGAAAGATCGTGAACTTGATGAGATCTTTGGTGAGAGGACACATCGATCTGGTGAACAGATTCTGAACATTCTTGACCGTCGCATCGATTACGTTACCGCGAATATCACATCGCTGCGAAATCAAATCAGCGCTGCTGAGACCAAGCTTGATGAAAGTCAACCCGACTTTACTGAAGACGACGGCTTGCCTATCACAGAAATTATCGAGCAGCTTGACGATGACGACAACGTTATCTCTTACAAGCTTAACCAACCTGATACGGCCTTGCCTCAGATTCAAGATGCCCTTCAGAAGGCCGGTATCGACGATCTCGAAGATAGCAACTCAGTCTCAAAGGCCGAGAGCCCTAGACAAAAGGAAGCAGAACACTCCCAAGAAAATCCATCGCCGCATACAGAGCTTGAATCCACGACTCTAGCACCATCCGTCACTAAAGGGGTGGTGTTTGCTGCAGATACTAAAATGCAAGACGGCCCAAAGCCCCAAGTCTCGCGGAATGCTAAACGTGTTGAAGAGATCATGAACCATGCCAAGGAGCAGGAGAAGATCAGCAGCGAGCAAGCGTACATCCCCGAGGATGAGGATGAGGAGGACGCGGAGTTGCGGCGGCAGATGCTTGAATACTCGGGGGAAGTTGGTGCTGTTGTCGCCGAGCTGCAGCTCGAGGAGGGAGACAGCGACGACTACGAATATGAGTACAGTGATGAAGGTTTTGAGGATGATGACGACGACCAGGAAGACAGGTTTGGTCGGTATACTGGCCGCGTTGTGACGGATGATTACCGTCAAAGAATGCTAGAATTGGAGAAGAAACTGGGCATCAAATCTCGCTTCACGGAGCAGCCAGAAGATAGGGATGGTGACGCAAGTTCCGATGACGAAGAAGGCATTGGCCGTATCGTAGTCAAGCCAGCCTCGGCGACAACAACATCATCATCAGCCTCAAAACCTGCGCCCGTCAAGTCAAACATCAAAGAGAAGCAATCAGAACAACTCAACGGCAAGAAGGGCGTTCGCTTTGCTTCCAATCTGGATATCGCACCGGAGAATGAGCCCACTGTCCTTCCAGTGAGAGAAGCTCCTATGAAGGAAAAGGAACCGATTGTGGAACCATTGAGCGACAAAATCGTTGAGCGCTCTAGCACCGCCAAGGCTCCCGATACATCTGAAATCAAGTCGACGCGCAAACCATCGAGATTCAAGAAGGCCAGAGATACTGTTCCACCAGGCCCTCTTGATGTCCCCGCCAAGTTCTTAGATCAAGACAGGCCCACGGCACCTACGGGTCCTGAAGGAACAACACTCGCTGACACATTAGTTGAGCGCGAATCCATACGCGCTGCTCCTCACCCACCGGATGAATTCGATGATGAATTGATATATCAAGAGGTCGCTGATGAGCACCACAAGCTTCGAAAGAAGTTCATCCAACGAGAAGGTGGGTTCCTCAAGGAAGATGAATCTCCGATCCAACCTTTGGAGGAGCAAGATGGTGGGCGAGAGCCAGTCAGTCGCTTCAAGGCCGCCAGGCTCTCAAAGTACTGAACAAAACAAAAGAAAGAACAAAAGTAAGGCACTCAGGTCTGGAAATGACAATGGAATGAGCTGCCGGGGGAACGAAGAGTCGAGAAGAATCGATTTGTTACCCGTCTTATGCTGCTCTCGAGTTGCCTTTTGTGAAAGGCATCAGTGATTGCTACAGTGCTACACTCTAATACGCGTCGTTTATGCTAACCCTATGTAAGGATGGATGACTTGACATTTGATTTGGTTATTGACTATTGACTCTGATGGGGGGTCACACGGAACGCTTTTCAAATCTGACAATTGATGTGTTGCAGCCTTTAATCTGCTTCTACATTACTAGCGGCTCCAATAGTAAATTCGGACGGGCTCTCTGAAACCATTACCTTAAGCTTGTGGTTTTGGTTATTCGTTTCACCCTTTACATTTCATTTTAGCTATCACACCTTATTTATTAGTGGCCTGAAGAATCCACGTGCCTACGTACTAGTATTCTTATCTGTTGTCCTCTCTGCCTCTGCCTCGGACCCTCGGTGGCTTAGTTATGACTTGCGTGGTGTTTTGTCTGCGTCTCTCTTATTATCCCTGTTTGTCGTATTGCCTATTCAAGCTTTTGAGGCTTGCATAAATGTGGAATGCGGGCGTTCCGGAAGTTCGGCACCGCATCTTTCGGCAGTGACCGTGCCGGTTAATGGCTTGCTGACGGCCTTGGACCCTATCATTGGCGAATGGCGTGCCTGGACGAAACCATACTCGGCGTCGGTTTGCCGTACGTCTTATACATAGTATCCTTAATAGTACGGACCCTGGCCAGAACACTCTCCCTACGGCTGCTCCCGCAGACAATATCTCAGGCCTGGACGGCTACTCGGCATCTCAAGCGTACGTCACAGAAGTCTCTGGTCAAAGCTGAATTAACAGGAATCATACGGTGAGGCCAATCAAGAATGTAGACAAAGACAGGAGCTGCTGGGACCGAGTGGCTGAGTTTCAGTGAACAGAGAGGCCTCTCAGTTGGCTGAAGGTACTTAATCTTGCTCGTTCCTAGCTGTGGGATTACTGACTTGAACAATACAATACACAGACAGCACTAAACAAACAAATCTACTTCATCACCCACTCACTACTACCTTTCTTCTCCTCTTCTTATCCAGATCCATCACTCCATCTCCCTCGAATCATTCAAGATGCCCGCCGCCATGGAACCCACTCAGCAAGCCCCCATGACCTCTGATAACGGAGACATCGTCACACAGCAGCCTGTAAGTTGTATCGCACGCAAGGCTCCATGCTTCACATACTAACACGTATCAAGAGCGCTGAGCCTCAGCCTGATATGACCATGCGTGGTGGTGAGGAGGCTGGCTGTGAGATCTGCTGTGGTCTCTGCGCCTGCGATGAGGGATGCTGCTAAGCAGACAGACTCACGTAGAGTGTTCTGAGTAGAATAGACTGCTCGGGATGGAGTTTGGGTAGCATTGTTATCGTGATTTAGCAACTCCCATCTGGATGGTTGATCCAGTGGAGCAATAAACTACATTCAAAACATATGATGCTTTCATGATATAGGCTTTATGTCTAATAGTAACCTAAACCAGAGATCTGGGACAGATCCTATGCCAGTTTGGCCGAACCCTTTCGAGGAATCCGTCTTCCGTACAATGTGTATCCACCTACGCCTGAAGGCTCATAGTACAAAGATCAACGAGTCAATAGATAGGCATTTATACAGAGTCATAGATAAATATGCAATTTTGCGATCATCCACAGAATACAAATCAGACTGGATTTCGAAATTGGTACGGTGGAGTTATATGTGTGCCATGTTTTTCAGGAATCTAATCATGCCGGCTTGTTCATACTGTCTAAATAGAACAAGTTCATCATCAGGTAGCCGTTCATATGGGCCTATCACGCACATCCATTTGTACCCGAGGACTCTTTAGCAAGCAAACTTGTGCTTGGATTAGGTTTCATAGCGTCTTGTCCTCCTTCGTCTTCGTTTTCGTCTTCTTCTTTTTTCTAGGCATCTTCCGCATCATGTTCCTGTATCTGAGCTCTGAGATGATCCGGGACGTCCTTGATGTCGATAAGCTGTAGGCCTTGTTTCTTTTTATGAGAACCTTGGGTACCAAACGTCAGCTCCATCTCAGCCTTCTTATTCTCATCGAACTCATCGGTAGCCGTTAGTGATGGCGACCGCCCTTGAGTGGAAGAGTTTGGACTCTTCTGCGGTCTGTGAGGTGTCGATGGAGCTGGACCAGGCCGTCTCGGCGGCCGCAAGACACTGGGTGGTGGCTTATTCTGTCTTCGCTGCTTCAGTCGTGCCTGTTCTTTCTTGTTGAACTCTGCAACCTCCTTGGGGCTGGGGCCGGGTTTCTTAGGTGCTGGGCTGGCTGTTGCTGTTGGGTTACAAAGCGTTGGGTTGCCCCCTGGAAGTACCAGTCCACCTAAAATCATGGGAGAAATATTCGACTGTTGTTGCGTATTGCTGGAGCCCGCTACGGTGGGTGGTGTTTTGGCGGTAGTAGTATATTGCTGAGCTGCGGCTGTGCTTGCGGCTGCTGGTGATTGTTGGTCTGGCGGTGCTTGAGTGGGCGGTGACTGAACAAGTGAGGGCTGGCTTTCAGCTGGCAAGATTGATGCAGGGACGCTTTGAGGTTGTCGTGAGTTTGGTTCAGGCTGTTCCTCTGGCAGGGCCGTTGCCGTTGGTCTTTCGACCTCACCTCACTGATGGACGACTCCTGCGCGTTAGTCTCATGAGTGTTAGCTTTCTGACTGTTTGATGTATCTGAATCAGTCTGTTGGGCTTCAGTATTCTTATGACTAGACTCTTTGCCTGAAGGAGAAACTGCCTGGTTTGAAGCACCATTCCCGGCAACAATACCCCCAGCACCTGCGAGGGCTAATAGACAGCGAGCCGCCAAGTCCGCCTTCGCTGTATCATTTCCGCTGTCTTCATTGACCGGGGAGGGCGTTTGTTGTAATGTTTCTGGCTGTGTATGAGGTTCTCTTTGCGACACTGACTCGAGGGTTGAGTGGACCACGGGAGTGTTCTTATGTGCTCGCGGCTTCGGTTTCGCAATCTTTCGGGTAGCGAGCTGTTCAGCGGTGGCTTCTTTTACTGGATCAGGAGGATCGTTGTCCGTGGGAGTTTGAGCGTAGAACTTGTCTTTGTCTGTCCCCTTATACGCGTCTATAAGCTGCCTTGCAACCTCTTCTTGCTCTGAGTCAGTCATCCCTATCTTGGTACTCGGGGCCTCTGGTTGTTGAATCGAGATGTCAACGTCGGGCGGTGCAAACGACTGCATATCCTGCATAGCAGTATCTTCGTTTGCTATCTCTCTCGTTGGACTCGTTGACAGCTGTCTTTCTGGTTCTGTGCCTTCCGAGGAGTCTCCATCTTGGTCCATGAGGTCACTGAACACTTCGTGAGCTGCATCTCCTATTCTTTTCCTTTCCTCTTCATTTGGTCGCCATACATCGGTCATTTGAGCGTCGTCCGTTGTAGATGCTAGGAGGGTCTGCTCCTCCAGTATACCTACACCACGATCACCGGCGGCATCAGACTCGGAACTCCCCATCTCTTCGTCACTGTCCTGAGGATTGGCTCTTGCGACTGGTGTTTCTGGTCCTCCGTTCAAGCTCTCTTGTTGGTTGACGGCAACATTATAGCCATCGAGGCTATTTTCATAAATACCTTCGCCAGATTCGCCAGATTCGTCAGATTCGCCAGATTCGTCAGATTCGCCAGATTCGTCAGATTCGCCAGATTCGTCAGATTCATGCTGGGCAGACGTTGCGATTATCTCATCGAGCGAATTATCTATGTCTTCGCTTCCCCGGAGCATGGGAATGAAGCCAGGACCAGGAGAACTGGATCGCTGCCCTATAGTTATTTCTTCAGATTCAGAGTGGCTCAGCGTGTTTGAAAGGAGCGAAGTCGAAGTCGGGGGCAAAGTTGTCCCATCTTCATTGACTTTGAGCAGTGGTGTCTCTTTATCGGCATTTTCACAAGCTTTAATCAAAGCTTCAGTCGAAGGCTGTTGGTTCCTCTTAGTGCTTGGGTATACTGTAGTAGATTGGTTTCCCGTGGATGGCTCATTCTGGGCGGATACGACGCTCGAAAAGGGCTCTGGGGAGGCCTGAAGAGAGACTTCGCTTTGGCCGTCTTGGGCTCCCGAGGCTATACTTATGGGGTCGCTAGTCAAAACATTAGAGACAGATGTACTCTCTGGGGTAGCAGGCTCAGTAGTCTTTGTCAAAGGAAGCTCAGGGGTAATTGGATGTCTAACGACAGGGCTTCCTTGAGCATCGTGTTTCGAGTCGTCATTCGAGATTGGTGTGGAGTGAATAGGGACGCTGGCGGAAGTGGTCGTGGTATCAATGGCTTGCTGAGTTTCCAGAGATCTGAATGAACTAGTAAGCTGTCGGTCCAACAGCCCCACGATCATATCGCACATTTTCTCCTTCTTGTCTTCATACTTGTTACCCTCAGTTTGGGTGATACCTTTATTAGGAACACCCCGTCGTGAATGCTGATGTATGCCTTTACACTCCTTTGCCTTTGTGCCGCCCATAGAGGACTTGGGCCCCCGTTCATTTCGCCTCGAAGTCCCTGCAGCAGACAGTCTTGAATGTATCGTAGACTTCACGAAACCTCGAATAGATGAGTGGATAGCGGTGGGACGGTCGAGGCCGGTAGCATGAGTCTGTATGGGCTCGGGTTCCGCATTAGTCGTAGGCCCAGGGGAGTCAGGAAATGTGATAGTGGCGGGAAGAGGTGAGCATACAGCAGAGTACTTTGGCTCCGCCACTTCGTCCTCAGCTCTGCTGCTATGAATAGTGACCAAGTTGGCGTTGATTCTTGGCTGGGGTCCCTCGAGGGCCTTCCCCTTATCGAGAGACGTCTGTGTGTCCGTGTCCTCAGACGAAGCTGGATCTGGACTCGGCTCTGGGATTGGAAGCTCTGGCACAACTACTGGGTGCTCGGGCTCTTCTTGGATAGGAGTGTCTACCAAGTCAGTCTGTACGCCCCGACTGGCGTACGTTTGGAGTGCCAGTTCTAAGGGCTTGTTCTTCATGCCATGGCTAGCAAGATCTGTTGGCTCCGTTTGTGTGCTCGCATTCTTGACTACGGTCCGTCTCGGTCCCAGGGTACTGTACCATCCTTCTTCCCAGGCTCTTTTGATGTCTTGCCCTCTTGGAATAGGTCTTGTGTCAGCAGGAGCTGGAGCTGGTGGAGGAGGAGGGGCTGGGGGAGTCGGTGCAAGAGGGCCAGCCGGTGCAGGAGAAGGTACCGGTGTAGTTGGAGGTACCGGTGCAGTTGAGGATTCCAGTACAGTGACAGGTCCCAGTATGGTTACAGGTCCCAGTATAGTTAAAGGTCCCGATATAGTTGAAGTTACTGGAGCGGGCTCATGGACCGGGGGCAGAGATACAGGGTCACTTGCTCTAAAGGTTCCAGCTGATGTCGCCTCACCAGATCTGGGAGGAGCAAGCAGTCTCAGGCGAGCCATTTCTCGGATGTGTTGGCTGTTTGCTGGCCCTCTTGGAAGGCCCTCCCAGACTAAGCCAGTCCTTTCATTCTCGAGCTTCTTCCTCTCATTCTCGATTCCCATTCTCTGGTTTTCTGCTTCAGCAATCCGATTCTGCTCGTCGAGGACTTGAGCTTGTCTCCTGATATTGTCCTCCTCGACCAGCTGTCTCATCCATCGTTCTGCACCAGTATCGTTGGGCTGGATGCCGGTTATGTCTCCGTCTGGTAGGTCAGGGTATCTAAATTCAGCGCCTGTGATCTCGTATAGCTCGTCTCTTGTAGAATTGAGATATGCCCTCAACATTTCTTTTGCTTGGCGAGCCCTGAATCTGATCATGGCAAGGTGTGTAAGGATGCTTGGCATCGCAAGATACTCCCATACATTCCACATGGTGGAAAATAACGGTCCTAGGGGCCTTTCCAATACGTATCGAAATACCTTTGGAATAAGAACCAAAATGAATAACTTGAGGACGGAAAGGATCAGTACGGCCAAGCTGACAAGGCAGTTGCGGAGAAAGATTGTGGTGGGCACAAGGACGATACCCATCGCCTTGAGGGTCTTGTAAAGAACGTAGATAGTGGTGAATGCAATTATGCAGTATTTGGTGTCAAAAGGCTCGTCTATGGTGAAAATAGAATCCCACAACCAACCCCAGAGCCAGCTGGGATCTAATACGCGTGCCATGTTGTTGATTCGTGTTGAGGGAGTGGCTAAGAAGTCGCAAATGTTAGTTCCCTTGACCGTGGTGATTTCTTGTACGGTAGTAAGTATAGAGTATAATATCGTATCGGGAGCGCATGAATGATATTGTGGATGTGTATATAAGTGAGCGAAAGATTCATGGAACTCACTTGATAACGATGCGTGGGTAATGGTTTATCATATAGTACTGAAGAAATCTTTTCAAGAAGCAGAATTCTGAGAGTCATATAGTTATTTGGGGAATTTATTGTCTCCCAATATTCTTTTGTTGTGAATAAAATCCTTGAAAGTGACCAGGCCAGATGCTAGCAGTGTTCAACCACAAAAGAGTCACTGAACAAGCAAGCACTGGCGAACAGTGACAACAAAAGTGAAATCCCTTTCCGTACCTGAGATGTGCTCACGGATCCTGCCCGGGACGCATAAATAGGTATCGGCAATGAAGAGATGGCTTTGTTAACATAGTGCCACAACAAAACAATGTCTAGGATGCCTTCAAGTTCAGCCTTATTGTATCACATCCATTCCGTCAAAAGGTCTTCATGCTTACGCAGTCAAGGGCAAACACAAGATAATAGTTAATGAATAGATATTCTTTATTTCCACGCAAGCCTTTGTTGTTGAACATCAGCCAATGGAGCAGTGCCACAAAGCACTGCTATAGACAAAGACAAACGCAAACCTAGGTATCTGTGTCCAAACAACGCCAGTGATTCGTTCCCAAATGCTCCAATACCCGGTCCCATCGTCACTCATTATACTGGTTTGTATGCATTATCCTGCCTTGCGACCTCTCGCAATCAGTCTTCTGTGCAATTCAACCATCACGTCACTCCACTGCTCTTCTCCAGCCCCAACAAAATTGCCAATCCGTGTGGTTAGAAATTCAGTCACTTTGAGTACGTTAAAGTGTTCACCATACAGCACCTTGGCATCAGGTGCAATCACCACGTTAAGTGCTTCGGCGCTGCTTTGACCTTGGAGACCCAGCTTGATTTCGAGGCGTGTCTCAAGAGGCACGAGCAGCAGAGATGTTGTGATGGCTATACTTGAGTCGGATGTTTTCTCTACTGCCGTGGGAAAGGTAGCGTTCAGTCGGACAAGTTGCGAAGAGACGAGGTTTGCCTTGTCCCAGGCATTTTGGACACTTTTTAGGAGGTGGGCAACCTCAGTGCGGCAATGAGGAAGCGCACGAACGTAATCTCGAATACTCTGTAAGAAGAACTCCTTCTCTGTCGTCTTGGGAAGTGCATTCTGCTCTCGGTTATCAGCGATATACCAGAGATCAATTGTCGAGTTTGGTTGATGCTCCTGGAACGCGGCGATATCAAAAACGATCTCGATCTCACGCCTGTAGGCCATCGATAGGACAGTTCCAGATATGCCGGTCACTGACCAGCCATATTGCTTCTCGATGGAATCAACTCGAGCTAAGACTGTGTTAGTCACAACTTTAGAGCAGATTTATCAAGACTTACCCTTAAGACTATTGACCTCTGTGCTCGTCCAGCCACGACATTCCTCTCGTATCTTCTCGGACTCTGCGATTTCATCGACGCAATTCTGCTTCTGCGTGATCAAGTCCTCGACTTCAACTTCTGATGCTTGAAACTGCTCCCTTAGCTCTGCGATGCGCTTCTTCTTGTATTCGACATCCTCGTCAAGAGACACCAGCTCGGCGCGGGCAGCCTCAAGATCGGCAGGGTCACAGTCAGCAAGCTCCCGAGCGATCTCCTCGAGATTATTTCTTTCCTCTAGTAGCGACTTGTAGCGAGCCACAATCGGGGGGAGCACGGAATCAAGGAGACTCTTCTGCTTATCCAGAAGCTCCTTGTCGGTTTCCATACCATCGTCAATTCCTGAAAGACCTTCTTTCAATCCCTCTTGAAGTTTCATTCGCCACTCATACCACATGGCTTTGCTTAACAAGCGAGCGTGGTTCTTGACATTCATAAACTGCTTGTCCATTAGAGTCTTGATCTCAGGTGTGGCTGCCATATACTCCTTGAACAGAGGCGGGTTCTCCTCAAAGGTGTCGGTCTCAATTTCCTTCACGATTCGTCGGCCTTCCGATATATACTTCTTCAGCTCACGGCATGAGTGCTGGTAGAGTTCAAGCATCGGCACTGTGCAAGCTCCAGCGACAACACAACGTTCGAGTGAAAGGTCCTCTTCACCATCATCAAGAAATCCGTTGTCAAGTGTTCCAGGCGCTTGTGTGTGACGACGCTTGGTTGTTGTCAGCTCCATGAAGCGAATGGAGGTCATGTTCAGGAAATCCTGAAGATGAATTCTGTCTCCGTCCTGGTCGGCCTCTGCCTCTGCTTCCTCCTCCAGCTGCTCCGCATCTCTGATTGGGGTTTCTTCGAAATTCACCTGGTGCCCCGCCCTATCATCTTCGACCTCCTTGAATCTACCCTGGTGCCTTGGCGTAGTTGCTGCATCGGGCTTCTCTGGTGAGGACAATGTCGGTGTAGCAGTGTTTGGTTGCAGGCTTTGTCGGAACGAATAATTCAATCTTCCCGTCGTCTCCTCTTTGGAGGGCGGTTGTTGAAGTCTGACGTTCTTGACTGGGCTTCCTTGGTGACCTCTGAGTCTTTTGACACCATCGTTATCTTCTGGTTCATCCTCATCGTCGTCGAGTTCGTTGGGTCGCTTGCCGAGAAGACCTTTTGCACTTCCTACATGAAGACTCTTACGGCCCCTGAGCGGCTTACGCTTAGGACTGAGGCTGTCAATCATTTCTCGTAGGTTAAGTGTGGCTTCGGCGCCGTCGGCTTCCCTCTCAAGAATCTTTCTGCGGTTTTCTTTATCTTCTTCCTCCTGTGCCTCACGGTCAATCTCTTGGGTCATCTCCTTAGGGTCTTCAAACATAACGCCACGCTTTCCTGGCACGAAATTCGTAGCCGTATCGCCAATGGAGCCTCGTCGATCGAAAAGCGCAGCGACCTGTGGGGACCCAAGTCCGGCCCGATCAGCCCCAATTCCTGACAAGCTTCGTTGGGGTGTAAGTATAACTGTCGGAGTTCGGTTGCTGTTCCTAAAACTTTTCTGGAAAAGACCTTGCTTGGGAGTGGACTTGACAGGCGATGGGGTCCTTGAACTAGCTCTTGTCGTTCTGACAGAAGATGGTCGCTTTGGCGAAGCCGAGCGAGGGTTTCGTTGTGAAGACCGAGGTGTAGCATTCTTTTCTGATACAACTGAATCGAGCTGAGGCGTAGCTAGTTTGGTAGATTTTGGTGTTCTGGCCTTGGTTGACTGCGGTGGTGTTGTTGTTGCTTTTGCAGGTGAAGTTGTGCGAGAAGTTCGAGAGTTTGCTCGAGGAGTTGAGATTTTAGTACCAGTGATGGTACGTGGAGCACTCCTTGGAGTCCGTGAGGGTTCGGGGCTTGGTGTCTTGGTCTGCTTATCGCTCGGTGTTGTTGGTGTAGCTTGTTCGTCAACTGCATTCTTGCTAATAGCGGCCTGAAATATATCATCAGGACTATCTGCACAATCAGCCTCCTCTTCCATAACCCGCTTGCCCAGGTTCCGTGAGCCACCTGCCGCTTTACTGAGAATACCCCCAATAGCGGTGGTCATATCCATACCCACTGTGGCTTCGCCTTCATCCTCATCCTCATCCGCGTCCTCATTGTCCTCTAGGTCTTCAGTTCCGGGTTTTGACAGGATCTGGCCAACTGCAAGAGTCATATCCATGGGGGCGTCATCATCATCATCGTTTCCATTTTCAGCACGGTTGACCGTACGCCTCCGAGAAGCGGCGATACTCTTCCGCTTCTTTTGTGACAGGACTCCACCCATTACAGTAGTGAGTTCCATCGACATGTCTTCGTTGCCGTCTGACGCATCATCTTGCTCGAGCGCTGGGCGTTTGATACCGCCTATTGCGGTCGTGAAGTCCATGGTAGCCTCTTCCATTGGGGTGTCCTCTTCCTCTTCCTCTTCATCGGCATTGTGAGCGCTGGTTCTCTGGGGCTGGCTGACAATACCCCCAAATGCACGCGTAACATCCATAGACATATCCTCGTCCGGATTATATTCTTGTGGGGACTGAGGTTTGATGATACCCCCTATTACACGAGTGACGTCCATAGACATATCCTCATCCGGGTCATACTGCTGTGCGGGCTGGGGTTTAATGATACCACCGACTGCGCGTGTCATGTCCATATCCATGTCCATACTCATGTTGGTCCCGGTAGCATCCTCCGTATCTTGCATTGCTTCAGCTTGCTGTGTCTGAGCTGGGGGCGGTAGGTTTTCTTGATCTTGTGCGGCAGTGTTGTTCTTGTTCTCCTTGCCCCATCCAAACATAGGGATATATTCTTCGTCATCATCAAGGTCGTCGTCTTCCTCATCTTGGAGTTGTTGATTGCCAGCCCTTCTCGCAGCCAGTCTCAGGGCTTCATCTAGTGTGGATGACTCTCCATCAGAATCTACCGATCGATCTGAAGCAGCTGTTGTTCCAGTCACATCATCGACAGTCATCATCGTTCCATCGTCGGATTCACTACTATCATCGTCGCCATCTTCCTCAATATCGGCAACCTCTTCGACTGCATCTGCAGGTTCGGAATCTGAGCTATAGAGCGTCGTCGCAGTGTCGTCTTCGGAGTTGTGGAAATTGACTGGTGGGAGTCCGGAACTTCGTCTCTGCTTCTTCTCTTCATCGTCGCGTTCCTTTTGCTGAGCTGCGGCATTAGAAAAGGCTGAGTTTCGCCTTGTTGAGTCGGTAGACGTCGTCGAGTCCTGGTTAAATTCAACTTCATGAAACGTGTGCAGAGTTGCCTCGGCAGCAAAAGATACGCGACGGTTTGCAAGAGATTTGCGACGAGCATCGCGACGCTCACGCTCCTCTCGTTCCCGAGCTGCAGCTTGCTGCTCTTCTTCTGTCTTGACTGCGATCTTGGAGCCGCTATTATCCGTGCTGTTCGGAGTAGAAAATTCCTTTGTTGGTTCTCCAAAATCAATTAGATCGGGCTGTCTCGGCTTCATAGGCGGTATTTCAGGTATCGGCATGGTTTGTTTGAGAATTGAGCGCGGGGCTCTTGATGGGACTGCAAGAGACTGAAATTATTAGTTATTACTGTATCTCTGGAGTAAAAAATAATCATGTCTCACAGCTCTTCTGTTTCCGTTGGCTTTCATGAGAGCATCCAAGCCACCAGGACCCAAACTCTTGCTCCTCGACTTTTTGCGGCTCGCGGCCAACGAGCTTGTGACGTCGACGGTCGCATTTTCTTTCTCGAACGCCTTATTAACATCTGTATGGGCACCGATTGATCTTCGCGTGCGCCTTGTAGCAGGCAAAGTTGCATCGGCGGGCGCCATCATGCGTAATTGAGCCGTTGGGTTTTATCGAGTCAAAAGTCAACCCCCAACCTGAAGCGCGACGACGATAAGTGATAGTGGGCTGTGACTTGGCTATCTCGCGTGTGTTTGTTTACTTTGGCTAGGGGGGAGAGTGGGGCTAGCATTGGTCAACCTCAAATGATCCACTTTCGATCACAGCCATGACGCCTCCTCACGTGAGCCTGAGCCACAACGAATTTGGGGAAGTCACGTGCGTATCTGGCACCTTCCGAAAATTCCAAGCCCTAATTGTCCTTACCTAAGGAAGGCACGCAAAAATTGGTGTTATTTTCTCCTTCCGCCTAGCATAGCCAATATCAACCTCGTCTCACCCAGCTCAACCACACGCCATCTCGTTACGGTACCTGCCCGAGAAGGATAATTCAAGATGTCAGTGACAGCCCAGCCCAACTGCAGCGTCAAATCCGAATGAATACACGATGTCGAATCCGAATGAGTCGCTAACCTTTGCATCAGGGCGACCGAGTTGACCGTCCAGTCGGAGCGTGCTTTCCAGAAGCAGCCTCACATCTTCCAGAACTCGAAGACCAAGACCAAGAGCACCCGACCGGGCAAGGGTGGCCGACGATGGTATAAGGACGTCGGTCTGGGTTTCCGAACCCCCAAGACCGCCATTGAGGGTAGCTACATCGGTACGTTCGACAGATTTTGAGATTTTGGGACTTGCAGGAGCACAAGAAAACGAATTTTGCCAAAGGACGGGCACATAAACAGCGACACCAATCGACCGTGCTGGGAGAGATTCGCTCAAATAAAGGAATACGTCGAGCGCATCACTAACACTTGGATCTAGACAAGAAGTGCCCTTTCACCGGTCTCGTCTCTATCCGTGGCCGTATCCTGACCGGTACCGTCGTTTCCACCAAGATGCACCGCACCATCATCATCCGACGAGAGTACTTGCATTTCATCCCCAAGTACTCTCGTTACGAGAAGCGACACAAGAACGTTGCCGCTCACGTCTCCCCCGCTTTCCGTGTTGAGGAGGGTGATCAGGTCACCGTTGGCCAGTGCCGACCCCTCAGCAAGACCGTACGTTTTAGAACGAACGAACTGGTATCAGGGATGCTCGCTAACATGATTCAAGGTCCGCTTCAACGTCCTACGCGTCCTGCCCCGAACTGGCAAGACTGTTAAGAAGTTCTCCAAGTTTTAAGTTAGGACTTTCTTCTGGCATTTTTTTCGGCGTGATAAGCATCAGGAGAGATGGGAAGTTTCTGCTGAAGGGTCGGGCACCGGATGTTGCGTTGCAAATGATTGTGCTATAGATGCAATCGCGAATAAAAAAAGGATTCACGAAGACAATTGTTTTGGGTTGATGGTTCAATCGGGCGTGATATGGCTAGGAAAAGGGTCTTCATGATCTCAAGATTACGTTCATACCTTTGACTATTCGCCGACCAAGAAATGCCAGTGCCGTGAGGAACTGTTGTTTGACCTTTGTGATGCGGTTGTGTGTGTGAAGACTCCAGTTCATGATACATAGATGCAACTGAAGTTTGATGATGAGGTGCCAGTTCGCCTGAATCAAAAAAATAGTTATGACAATGATATGAATAATTCCCATCTGACCTAAGTGCTTGATATTATGATGTCGAACCAGCTCGAATCTTTGGATCCTACCTAGGTACGGATTTAATCTCGCCTGATGAACTACAAAAAATGGCGTTGGTATACAGTGCTTCGTACAGTGCTTCGCTGAAATTCTTACCTCCACTTATCGCAATTGAAGCTATAGTCCAGTTTTTGGAGTGTCAACTTCGAGTCCAGTTTTGAACTCAATTCCAACCCTTTTCCCGTAGATTGGTGCCAGTTTAGAGAAACAAGTTTGCTACAATGGGTTGGATATCTTCGGTCCTTGGTACCGGCAAGTCGTCAGACCCTCTTTCAAAACTCGATCCAAGCCTTCGCGACTTTCTGGAGAAAGAATCTCCCCTCAAATACCCTTCGAACCAACCTACGAACCCTCCTCCAACAAATCAGCAGCCCCAGAATGCCGATGCAGCGGCGACAATTACAGAACAACAGAAGCCAGTCGTACCTTCAGCAAGCTTGTATCAAGACGGTCGATATGCCCACCTCTGGAAGAACTACCAGCCGCTCGCCGAGATTGAGGCAGAGACCGCAACCGATCATGAGAAGCTAATGAGCGTCTTGGAGGCATACAAGGAACGAAAAGAGGCCATTGGCAAGGCAGCGTTGGAAAATTGTGCTGAATACCAAGAGGAGTGGGTGAATTGCATGAAGCATGGAAGCTGGGAGGATCAAATGCAGATGTGTAGACATCAAGTTCGAAAATTCGAGAGGTGTTATATGATGCAATCAGTATGTGGGCCACATTCGCCTTACTCAACATCCCATTTCTAACTATGTTTTAGCGTTTTCTTAGAGCGTTGGGCCATGGGTCAGTGGTAGGCAGATCGCCTGAGGTGGAAGAGGATATCCAAATGCACGCCGACTCTCTTTACCAGCGAATGATCAAGCACGAGGAGGCAGTCGAGAAGGCTAAGGCAGAAGGACTGCCCGCGCCGGTCTTCCAGACAACTTTGCCGAAAGCCAAGAAAGATGCGGTCATGCCCACTGAAGAACTTCAACAACAATGGAAAGAACAGCTTGATAAGCTACCAGCTGATGAGCGTGCGGTTGAAGAGGCTGCTCTTCGTGCCGATCTCCAGGCCAAGGCCGAGGTCGCCGGCAGCGTTCAGAAAATTTGGGATACACAGGCGGAGCAGAGGAAACAGCGACAGGCAGAAGGAACATCTACATTTGGAGATTACATTGCATCTTTGTTTGGGAAATCTGGGAAATAAAACGGTGGGCAGGGAAGCATATTGTACAGTGCTGTATATTACGATGAGCAGACTATTGGCATAGCTCTCCAGGCTGCATGCCCCTATGTAAGACTACATAAATAAATAAATGTACCAATGTAATGAATGCATTTCTGGTTATTTTTCATTCCGGTCTCTTATAAAATGTCATATCTTAATATAATTTCTCAGTTGAAATTCTATATACTGTGGTGATTGAGTTATAAGCTAGAAGTAGTATTTACAATAAAGACTTGCAGCTGAGAGCTTATTTTACAGGATATAGAACTTAGTTTATAATTAATATATTACTGCTATTATATATATAAGTCTTAAAAGTATAGTAAAGTATTTAATTTTATTTAAATAGACTATAAGGAATATATTTACAAATATTATACTGTCTCCTCATAGTCCCCAGCTTTAATATTAGACATTATGCTACCCTAGAGAAGTAAATCAAAGCTAGTCCTTATGATTGATGCATTGAGAACGATTTCACAGACATCCAGATATAAGCGAATTAGCACGGTTCCGTGGTCTAGTTGGTTATGGCATCTCGTTAACACCGAGAAGGTCCCCGGTTCGATCCCGGGCGGAACCATATCTTTTGCTATCTTTATGCCTTCGATTAGAGCATTAGCATTATTTCTGCATTTATTGGCATTATGTTTTGGCATTTGAATGGACTATAAGTAATTGTTTATAAGTTGTTCTGAGACAGTAATATTATCTATTCTTTACCTTCATCCAGCCACTCGTTCCCCGAACGGCGGAATTCTTATCGCCACCTCGCAAGTCTTTGTTGGCTTGATTCATATCAACAACCTCTTCTTCAACTTTCCATGCATCATCATCCAGAACTTCCCAGTCAGGGGCAGGCGCCTCACTGAGCAGCTTCTTCCTCAGCTTGTCGGCCAATTTCATCGGACCGGGAAGCTTGAATGTCTTACTGAACTCGGTACCTTCAGCTCCGCCCAGGTAGTAGAAAGTTGTGCCGTGGGAATATTGTCCCATGCGGCTGGCATGGGCATCAGTTTCATTCTTGGATGCGCTGGGATCCTTCTTGTTAGATGATGAAGGATAGATATTTGCACCAACATTTTGGTGATTTGTGAGGAGCTCGTGTAAATTGCGCCCCATATTGCAAATGTCTTCAAAGTGAGTCCCATCACCTATCGAAACACCTTGCGTACTGCAAGCCCAGGCGATGTTGTAGGCGAGCAGAGTCACACCTTCTATGAAATATGAAAAGGTTGCTGGATCTTCCTTGGCCAACAGCGCTGGTGGCTTGTCAATGAAAAGAGGTCTTGGACGTGAAACACGCTGGGACTCTGTGTCTCCGGACTGAGAAGGATTCCCTGCTCCTGTCTGACTAGGATATACTGGATCCCCAGATCTGTAAGAAGCAGAGAGATTGAAGATGGTTGGTCGTGGGTAGTCGCGGTGAGGAAGAGTAATTGCCGCAGGAAGACGAATTGAAAGATAGTGTGATACGAGCATCAGGATATGACAAATGTGGCTGAGAGATGTTGAAATCATCTCTGGTGTTGATGCTGTAAAGGGAGTTAGTACATAGTCGAAAAAGTCGTGGGAGAGCCTACAGTTCATTGTGGCCAAATCAACAACGGGAATCCCGCCAAGGTAATACTCATATTTACCAGTAGAGCCTTCTTTGACACGTTCAAGTCCATATAGCCGGGCTGCCTCCATACAGAGAAAAGATCGCGTACGAGCCATGTCGCCAGCGCTGCGAGACCACTTATACCTAAGTCTGCCAATGTCCGTTTCTATATCTTTTTGCTGTTTCACTCTGCGCTCAACCAGACCACCAGACACAGCTGCAATATCCGACTTGCGACGAGAGAGCGCAGCCTTCCGGGCCTGGATCTCTTCTCTGGCAGCTTTGATGTCATTTCTGAGCTTATCGGCAGCGGCCAAAATCTGGGTCGTCCTATCTTCAGCTGTTCGTTGTTGTGCCTGTAGTGATTCTCTGTGAAACTTGTTTGGGGCGGTCGTCTCATCTAATAGTTCGTTTATTTCATTTTGGAGACTCTCGTTCTGCAGGAGAAGTTCCACATTGGTTATGCGACCATCGAGAAGCGAGTTTCTGGCGTCCAAGGTGCACAGAAACGGAAGACGCTCTGGGTCGTGAATGCGATGGCAGATATCGCAGTCCATACTGGCTTTGTATCTTTGCCACCTGCGTTCAGGCAGTTGTCGCTATCTGTTGATCAAAGAAGACCAGGGAATCACGTTCAGCCTTCCGGTGGTGAAACAGGAGAGGCGGGGCGCATCTTCGTAAACCCGAGATAAGCGATTGAAAGTGAAAGTAAAAGTGAAAGCCAAGTGACTCGTAGGTTTTGAAGTTGAAGATGGGAGTCACGAGTCGAGCATTGATAGTGACAATGTTGTGGCGCATGAGCGTAAGCCACACAGGCAGCCAACCAAAAAATGCAGGAACACACACGCTCCAGACTTCCTGTTAGTGAGCAAGTAAATGATTCAAATACCTTAACTTCACCATTTATTAGGTATCGGGAATCAGTCTTCCTTCACTGAGCTCAGTCAGCTTTGATAGAGAGAAATCACCGCTTTGTGGAATACAAGATCCAAGACCACTTACCAACGTCTCAAGACAGTTGACCAGGCTGCTCACTTGACAGTGCTGCACGTTCCGAACAGACACCCCTGTTGCTTGGCCGACAACACCCCTGGTGATTCAACGCGAAGTGCCCAACATGGATACAGCACTTCCACTACAACAAGACGGCGAGAACGGTCACAGTCAAGACGATATCAAACCCACTGGCCCTGCTCCTGAGGAATCAAACATGAACAACATCCAGAGACACCCGCATACTAATAGAAGGACACCCGAGCCTCAAGATGATCGGCAAGCCAACAATTCTGATCCGCCAGATACCCCTGGTGTTTTAGAACCATTTGACTGGGATGAGTTTGAAGCGCGTTATGAGGCTGCTTTGCAAGAGGCAGATGAGCGAGAGCGGGAGATTCTGAAGGAGGCGGATGCTCTCTCAAAGGTGAGTTCTTCTGAGCAATGATGCAGACTGATGAAACTAACATCTGGGGAGTACTTCAAAATCTGGGCTGCGTCAGCGTCAGGGCACGATGATGAGCGGGCAGCGAAGCGCCTGCAAACACGACGACGCTTCGTGAATCTCGCTGAAAACAAGATGGAACGGAAACAACAGCATTGTGAGCCCGACGTGCTTTTTGTGCCACCCTTTGACCAAGTATTGACGCTTTGCAGATGATCAAGTTGTGAGGGCCTTTGAGAGTGCTCTAGCACTTCTCAAGTCCCAGTGAGCCATCTATGGACTCTGAGTTGATGGCTGAAGCTTCAACCAGCTCCATCATCAAACTTTTGGACTGTCTTCACACAACATACTTTGCTTGCCAGGCTGCAGGACATACTTATCTCTTTTCACACAGGATCAAATCGATGTTGGTGCATTGACACGTGACATAATCTCGGCCTAGACGCGTCTTCCGCCAATCTCGCCAAATCTGATCTCGCGTTAAAGAAAACAAGACATGCCGCAATCAAATAATGGAAGTACAACAAATGCGCATGTAACGCCCAGCATTTCCACCGTACGTTACCCCGGTACGCGCAGTTCGATACTTTACTGATACTTCTAGGATGATCTTGTTGCTTTCCACGAATCCCATTTCTCGCACACAGCCATCGCCGCCTTCGGATCTGAATTCGTAGACTCGCCCCCCCAGGATCAAATTCAAGATGACGCCGTCAACAATACCTGGGAGGAGGAGGACGATGGCCTGGGCTATTATCCGGATGGTGTGAAAAGGACTTTGACGGATGCGCAAATCGAGATATTTCGACATTCAGAACTCGAAACTCAACGCAAAGAGAAAGAAAGAGCGAAACAGCTGGGTTTGAAAGAAACAGCGCCGTCGAGCGACGTCATGGATTTGAGTGATGATACCCCCACTTCAAAGCAAACCAAAAACATGTCTTCCTTATTACCCACTTCCTTCCAGAGCAATAAGAAACGAAAGAAGAAGAACGGTCTTCAGCGCCCTCGTCCCGAACCGAAACCAGACTTGCGCAAACGAACCTGGGATGTTGTGGACAAAGGGTTGGACTCGCTGGAATACGACTAAGCATGTTCCCTGGATGAACAAGGGATACTGCTTTTGAACTTTCGAACGTTACCCACCGGACATTTCGATTGTAAGTTGATCCTGCCTCCAGTGTGTTTGAATCTCATTATGATGAAAACCCTTGTATCGTCATCCTTAGTCGGATCGGGGCTGGAGGTGGACGACGTATTGGCTCCTGCTGATATTGACACCTCTGCAGCCCTGAAATGTCGAACAATTAATCTTCTCTCTGAAATATGAGACTTTTATTCATATTCTTCCCAGCAATCAGTTTGTTTACGTTGCTAACCATGACTGTGGTGTAGCATACGGCAAAGTCGGCCAGTTTGACAGGTTTAATAAGGCAGCTTGTACATATTGTATGTCTTTTAGCGGCCAATGAATATATGAGGTAGGCGCTTTGACTGGTATATAGCAAGCCATGTATTTTATTCGAGGCTTATTCGTGATGCAAATGTGTTTTTTGGTCCCAATATTAAATTCATCTTGTTATCAGGTGACGGCCGGGGTCAGAAGAAATGGAAACAAGTATATTCGCGAACTACCTTAGACTTAGCTTCCTTGAGCATAAGATAATTATGTTTGTTTAGATGGCGACAAGATGTTCATAAAGTAACATTTATTAGCAGACTTGACCCTTAGGCCTTGGATAGCCTAAGCACTTCACTGTTTCTGTGACACCTGGAAGTCTTTCTAGACTGTGTATGTTAGTGACTGTTTCAATAAGAGGTGAAATGCCAGAAACAAACAGCTATTGCGCATCCATTCAATTTGGATCCTAGACATGCCACCATCTATTTGCCTTGTGATTGATTTGGAGGTACTCGTGCCCATTCGCCAGTGTTATCGCGGGGCGGCCGATAAGCGCCACAGCGAATCACAGCCCAGCCCGCCCGCCAAATTACGGGGCAAATCTGGGCTGGGCTGGACCCGACCTGAAATGCCATCCCACCTTGATTTTGCAAACCAAGTCAAAGCAGGTCCAGCCTCTCCTCTTCAGCCTCTTAGACTAGAGACCTTGGGTTGGGCTAGATTAGATATACAACTACCTCGGCCTCAACCTCTCATCTTTACCATCTTTATCACTCCGACCGTCGTCGACGTCCCGCGACACTATCTTCTCCCACCGCCAGCGTCGCCTCCCTGCAACGAACGGTCTCGATCTCTGCCCATCATGGCGCGCGTCTACGCCGATGTCAACCAGAGCATGCCCCGCAGTTACTGGGACTACGACAGTGTTAACATCAGTATGCCCTCACCCCACGTGAGAACTCCCTTGACAATGAAGCTGATAAACATGTAGGCTGGGGGGCTCTAGAAAACTACGAGGTCGTCAGAAAGATCGGTATGCCGTTGTCGTCCATTTCGTTGCTTAGTTATTGACCTCTTGTGCGTCTGTAGGACGTGGAAAGTACTCAGAAGTCTTTGAAGGCATCAATGTCGTCAACTACCAGAAGTGCGTCGTCAAGGTCTTAAAGCCTGTGAAGAAGAAGAAGATCAAGCGCGAGATCAAGATCCTCCAGAACTTGGCCGGGGGTCCCAATGTTGTTGCCTTACTTGACGTTGTTCGGGATGCGCAGGTTGGTGCCAACTTTTTCAACTGACATCGCAATATGTAACTGACCACACAAATAGAGTAAGACGCCGTCCCTCATTTTCGAGCACGTCAACAATACCGATTTCCGAAGCCTCTACCCCAAGTTCAATGACATCGATGTCCGGTTCTACATCTTTGAGCTCCTCAAGGCTTTGGACTTCTGCCATAGCAAGGGTATTATGCATCGAGATGTTAAGCCTCATAACGTTATGATCGATCATGAGAACCGGAAGGTTGGTCAATCTGGCATGACACGTCTGACGTAGAGCCCACTGACAGTTCATAGTTGCGTCTCATCGATTGGGGCCTGGCCGAATTTTATCACCCCGGTACCGAATACAACGTTCGTGTGGCCTCTCGCTATTTTAAGGGCCCAGAACTGCTGGTCGATTTCCAGGAGTACGATTACAGTCTCGATATGTGGAGCCTAGGAGCCATGTTTGCTTCTATGATCTTCCGAAAGGAGCCGTTCTTCCATGGGAACAGTAACTCGGACCAGCTTGTGAAAATTGCAAAGGTTCTTGGTACTGATGATCTTTTTGACTACATCGACAAGTACGAAATTGAACTGGATGCGCAATATGACGACATTCTTGGACGATTCCAGAAGAAGCCATGGCATAGCTTCGTCACCTCGGAAAATCAGCGATTTGTTTCTAATGAGGCCATCGATTTCCTTGACAAGCTACTGCGATACGACCACCAGGTTTGTTTATAGCTTCAACATCTCCTGTCTGATCTAACATTTGCGTAGGAGCGTTTGACCGCCAAGGAGGCGCAAGCGCACCCCTACTTCAACCCCGTCCGTGATCCCGAGGTTTTCAAGCAACACCTTGCAGCTGCTAATGGCGCTGCCAACAAGTCTTGAGAGTGCTTGGAGTCGTAGCTCTCCAACACTCATCACCTCTGGCGATCCATCTCGTGGCAACCCTTAACCCATGATACCCTGACTGGCGGTTACTGCTTTCCTTTGTCGGTTTTCCGTCCCTGATAGGATACACCCATACTGGGAAGAGAATATCTCAGCCGGATCCGCCTTGATCCTTTCCGCCGTGAAAGCGCGCCGACTCAATGGCTCTGTGAGATGGACTCAATGAGAATGGAGCTGTATGAGAATATTCAACAGCCTTGGCATGACGTATGATTAAAACGGTTCGGTGTAGTGAGGAGAAGCTTGCGTGACATGCCGCGACATCTCGGACGTCGTTACAGGGGCGATGTGGAATGAGGCAATATGGTTTCGGCGTTCCAGGTTCTGGGGGTTATAGCACGTTGAGATCGAGGGCTAATCTAACCACCAACACTCCTAACCCTTTTTTATGTTTTTTATTAACTTTGTAGTTGGAGGTTTTCATGCTTTTGGGTCAGCTTTTTCTCGAGTAGCGTAAGCCTCAAATAAAACCACAGCGCTATGTTTGCTTGTTGTATATTGATCTCACAAGGGTTTATTATCTAGTCTTCTCTACCAAAAGTAATTTGTTAAAATCAGGACGACCATTCATATACAAGAGAAGCAAAAGTCTCGGCCACACTGATAACCATCTAGACCACAGGTTCGTAACGTGCCCCTAGGTGTCTTAATAGTGCTGATGGGACTGGACATCTCATTGAAACGCTTTCTACTGGGTGTCCTTTGGGCTTCTCTGGTTAGGGCACTTGCCCGCAAAATCCTCTTTGTTGAAGGACGGACGCTTGCTGTCTTTGATGTTGATTTGACTCTGCGCGCTAACTCATCCTGAGACTCACCGGTGTCTGATTCCGAATCCGACACAAATGAGAGGAGGGATCGGCGTGATGAGGGTGCACGAGTAGTACGAATGGAAGCATGTCGAGGGGTGTGTGGTTTGTGAGAGCTTGAAGGGGGTTCTGTAAGGGGAGCCCTTGTATCCGTCGGCTTCCGCGGTGTCGATGCCCCTTGAACCATGGTATCTTGAAGCAATTCGGGCAGAGATTTGTCATAATGTGCAGCTTCGTCTTGAGGAGGTGCATAATCAGAGGAATTGTCGTCAAGACGAGACCCACTATCCTCAGAGTGATCGCTGTAGTTAGGAGCTTCTTCACCATGAACGCGCGAGGAAGGACAAGCGGTAGATGACTGCTCGTTTCCGACGGTTATAACGGTTTCCAGTGTTTCCATAAGCCCGTCCGGAATTGTGTTTGGTTCCTGCAACAGCCCGGATGGCGTCAAGCGTACTAGCTGTTCCTCCTGGTCATCTGAAACATCCTCCTTGAGTTCTGTTGACTCGTTTGTGCTGTTGTCGGAATTTCGGAGCTTTTCCCATGTCCGCCGAAGCTTGATGGCATCATCTGAAGTTCTAGCTTGTGGTTTATAAGACACTGGGCTCTTGGGTTTTGTCTTGAGAAGCCACCTGAGTTCGCTCGTTAGATGATGTTGACGTGCTACTGGACGTTCTTCAGTCGCCTCATCGTCATGATCTGATTCTTGTGAGGCTTCTCCATCGCGATCCGGACAATCATGGCCCCTCGTAGCATATGTCGAGTGATCTTTGGACCCAGCTTCAATACCAAGATTCGCAGGATTCGATTTCTTTAGCGCTCCAGCATCATGCGGTATGGCGCCCCTTGTTGTGACTTTTGTACTGGATACAGTATCCTTTTGAACCTTGCGTGTTGAGCCTTTGGGTCTTCCCCGCTTGCGCTTAATAGGCTCTATTGTCTGGCCCTGCATACCGCCAGCTGTAGGCTCAACTATGGGCGCTGCTCGTTGGTTGGGTTTTGGTGAACTACTCGCAACATAGACAATGGGCTCAGCGCTTCGAATTCGATCATCTGTTGACATGACTGGCATTACAGGTTTTCGGATTTCTACCTGGCGTTTTGGTGCTCGGACCCTTGAAAGAACAAGAGGAGCTTCGTCGTCTGAAAGCTCCATGCCAGAAACGGTATGTACATCAGAAGCATAGAGTCTGTCGTTCCCCACCTTGCGCTCCGGTGGCTCAGGAGCACTGCTGTTGAAGGGAGTCGCGGTATCCTTTGAATCTGGTACAACCTGCCTTTGGGAGGTCCTCCCCCTTTCGGGTGCTATGGTTCCCAGCGCATTGCCTTGAAGCTCCTCCGAGGACGAGGCACACTCATCGCCGACATGATCGACACTCTTGAAGTCTTTGCGAACGACTGGATCAGCCTTGTATAGCTCCACCCTCAACCTCTGGCCTGATTTCTGCCATTCTTTGGCATCGTCCCATGAGACCTTGCCCATATACTCAGTTCGCTTCCTCGCTCGGCCAGACCGTCTCCGACCAGAATCGTCTTCCTCGTCGTTCTGTTGGGCCAGTCTCACTGCATTTCCATTGGTTTCTTCCAGTGCCCCTTGTGAATGTCGATGAACCTCGCCTTTCGCAGGTGATTCTTTGGTTGGAAGGACAAGACTTGCCTCAGGGGTCGACGCTACCTCAGTAGTCTGAGAAAACATCAAATCATCATCTTCGTCGGTATCATTTATAGTTCTGTCAGGGGCCGGACCTTCCTGATTTTCGCGTGACTGTTCCTCAGACATGCATTTATGATGGCCATCTGTAACTGCCTCCTCTTCCGTACGAGAGCTGCTAGGGTGTCTGCTCATTGCCTGCTTGGAGGATGCTCTCATAGAGCCAGCCCGCTTCGTCTTCTTGGCCCTGTTACGACTCCAAATCGACGTCTGTCCGTTATGGGTAGGGAAGTCGTATCTTCCTCCGGTGAACCAAGGCCCTGGCATACTCGGCGGCATGTTAAAATATGGAGGAATATCTTCCCGACCCCAGGCTTGCATGGGAAAACCGTGCATTCCTCCCCAGTGCCCTCCTCCCCAGGACCCAAATCCTGGAGTTGGCCCGAACTCAACTGACGAGCCTAGTCCATAGGATGGAGGACCAAAGTGAGGTTCACTGGCATGGAATATGGCGTTATTAATTTGGGAGTGATCCATGGTCGTACCCATATCAGCTTGTAGTGCTTCTCGGGACACTTCGCTGTGAGCCCATTGACTCGTTGGCGCGCCTTGTCCTGCAAATGTTGGCTCCTGGTTGTTCTGATCGTCGCTCTGAGAATGTTGCACTCCTGTGACTGGTTCTTCGCCATCGAAATATCCATCCGTAAGATCCTCGAGCAGAACTCCTTCATCTTCGTCGATATTACTATCGCCCTCCATCCACAGTCCCTCAACATCTCCCTCATCACGCATATTACGCAAATGACCGTTATTAACCACAATTTCTCCAGTGTTCATGTCGATTTCGTCGCCAATACCCTCAAAGTCCCGGCTGTATTTTTCGATAATATGAGCCATTGTGGCTTGCAGTTTATGGTCAGCATTCGCCCGCTTGAGAGCAAGCTGAATATCAGGATCTCGGCGCATCCTGATCTCTTGAGGATGTGAGGCAAGTTCGTCATCGTCACTTTCATCTTGAACCTCTTTTTGAGCTGAGGAGCCCCGTCGCCTTTTCTTTGTTGGTGTTTCCATTGTCCCTATGGTCGTAACAAGCCCTGAGGAATCTCTGTCAAAATTAAATCATGCATGATTTTGTGACATATTCTTTATGAGGATGCATGGTAGCCTTCCATTTGATGGCTCCTGCATTCTTTGATGACGATTCGTTGGAGGAGCAACTGAAGGGTCTAGACGCGTTGTGACGCGCCATCAGGAGCCGTGCATCGCGTAAAGTACTTGGACCCATGTGGATCTTATCGATCAACTTAGCGGGGTTCACTACTAACCTAGGACAGACGGTACCTACAGCTTAATGCAAACCATCCATCTACTATCATGTGGATGCTATCGACCTTTGATAGCTTCATGTAACCTTATGAAAGAACCTGAGAGTCAGGCTTAATTGTGATAGCTCTTTCTACTTCCTTTTGTTTACTCTGTACTTGTTGTGTAAGCAATTATATACTCCGTAGCTTAACTATCGTAAGTTTCACCTGTCATTTAGTACCCTGTGATCAACTGCACATTGGCTCGTGGCTCCCAATGCTAAACATAACCCGACGTCACCGCTAAGACATCCACCACACCTTACTCTGGCCATTTCTTTATTTTCCCTACCTTTCCCACCAACGGCTCGACACTCTTTCTTAAAAGCTCTGTGCAGCGCATTCGTTCAGCAACCGGTCTTGAACAATGTCTGCTCGTTAACCCAAGTATGAACTGCCAGAAATGCCGCCAGCCTCTTAGGCTGGACGGATCCCTCGAGGACCTCAACCCAGCCGCCTACGATGTGCTTGTTTGTATGTGGCCTGATCCTTTTTCTGCGCATGTATCTGACCTTGCTCGCCAGCATCGACATCTCCCCAGACCCTTAAGAAATCATCTGTGACGAGCCCACCAATTACGCAACCACAAGAGCAAGCACGCAAGTCTCTATACGAAACGGTCTCAAGAAATACCGGGCCACCGACGTTCAAGCGCAACCACGGAGGGCATCCCCGCGATTCCTCTATGTCTTTTGTTTTATTGTCAGAGTCCCAGATGACTCACCCGAGTCAGCCTACAGAGTCTCCCGCTATGCCAATACCATTGCGCCGTGCCAGCTCTGCCAGAAGTAATGGCGATAATGTCGACGCGCCCGTTGGAAACGAGATGGAAAGGGTCAACCGACTTTTCGAAATTCTATCTGCGCGATCTGATATCGACCACCCTATCTGCGTTGAATGTACGGAAATGCTTGTTGAGGGCCTGCAGAAGAAGCTAGAGGTTGCTTCACGCGAAAGAGACGCCTATGTTAAACATCTGAAGGAGGCCAAAGCAAACAAACCAAGCGAAGAAGACATAAAAGCTCAAGGGGAAGCGCTGAGAAAAGCTGAGCAGGACAGAGCAACAGCTATGGAAGAGCTGAAGAAGCTGGAGGCGGAAAAGACTTCCTTGGACGGGGAGCTTGTAGCTCTTGAGGAGGAGTCGCGACAACTTGACAAAGAGGAGGAGAAGTTCTGGAGGGAACGAAACGAGTTTGCCACCAAGATGGGTGAATTCCAGGCGGAAAAGGACAGCATCAACGCCAAGTACAGCAACGATTCCCAGCTCCTAGAAAAGCTGCAGCGATCTAACGTATATAATGACACCTTTTGTATCAGCCACGATGGGAGCTTCGCGACAATCAACGGTCTTCGGCTTGGACGTCTCTCTAACAAACCGGTAGATTGGCCAGAAATCAACGCCGCATGGGGACACGCACTGCTACTCTTGGTTACCGTTGCGGACAAACTTTCCTACAGATTCGATGGATATGACCCGCAGCCTATGGGAAGTACGTCAAGAATCATCCGATACGAAGTACCGAGCCCTTCTTCCAGCCGAATAGGTAGTCGAGCTGTCAACGCACCCCCAAAGAAGCATGTACTCGAGTTGTACAGCTCTGGCGATATGCCTCTAGGATTAACCTTCATGCACCGACGCTTTGATAACGCCATGGTTGGGTTCCTGGAGCTTGTGCGACAGCTGGGCGCGTATGTACATAGGCAAACAGATGCAACTGGTACACCTCTTAGCTTGCCATATAAGATTGACGGCGACAAGATTGGTGATGTCAGCATCAAACTCGGCATTGCCCAAGACGATGGATGGACGAAAGCGTGCAAGCTGACATTGACGTGTTGTAAGTTTCTGCTCGCGCACGCCAGCAACGTCACCTCCAACGCAAGAAATGGCGGGAACTGAATAAGTCCGCTGCTGGTGAATCAAGGAACTTGGGTTCTCTGAGCTGGGCTCCTTGTGTCTCCCTGATGTACTCAAAGTAGTGGAATTTTGGACAAGCTGGACGGCGTTATAGGATGGAAATTGAGCATAGAGGCTACGCCTATTCGGTCGCATAGAATCATTTGGCATTATGAATAGCAATAAGCTGAAAATGGGGTTCCTGCCTCATTTCTATGAAGAAAAAAACGCAAAAATTCAAATTGTTTGTTTCGACCCGTATCAAACGAGAGTGGTTGGTGCTTCCTTGGTAAGGTAGTCACCCGTTGTGAGCACGTCTACCTACTAACCTACTTACTTTCTACATAGAGGTTCAATTTTCACTCTATGCATAAGTAAGTTAGGTACTTATCAAGGCCTACCTATGGCTTCCCATTGTGCTTGTTCAATACATACTTGGGAAGAGGCCAAGCTAAATCAGGAGCTCGGGCAGTTACTTATTCTTAGTGATTCACGCTCTCGCTACTCTTCTCCTTTTAAACCCTTACATTCACAACAATTCCCAACTTCTTCAACCTGAAGCATCCTCTATAAAGTACTCAAAATGGGCAGTTGCGCTCATTGTGGCAAGGCTTCAACCGTGTGGTGCTCTCATTGCGTCGGAGCTCCAGAATACCACGACGGAGATGCTGTCACTACCTTCTGGTGCAGCCCCGAATGCCAGGCAGCTCACAAGCCAACTCATCAAGAGTATTGCTACAACCTACAACGACGCAAAACTCTTTTACGCACGACCAAGCTACTCAAAGCAGCACTTTTGGCGTACAAGGAGGTTGTGTACGACATTCATGTGACAAGGATCGAACATGACGAAGACAACGGAACTCTAGTCCTCACACACACCCCGAATCGAATTGAGCGCCATCCTTTCCCGAGCCACCTTACGGGTATTGAAGAGCACAAACAAGCTGCTCTTCTAGTAAACCAGTGTACTATGTCGATTTCTCTCCTTGGTCCGATGGCCAGGGGTCTCTTGGCCGGTAGGTTAAGCCGTTTATTGCGATCCAGGGGTCATCCTGCTAATAGTTATCGATTAGGAATTGTCTCCCGAATGGATGTCGCCGTTGTTGAGATTCAGAATCCTCCCCTCACTATCAAATTTCACCCCCCTGATGGCATCATGACAGACCGGAAGTTCCACACCATTATTGAAGCGACATTGGACTCATCAGGAGAACAATGGCTGATCGATGTCACAGGCTGTCAGTATGGCTTCCGGGAGATTCTGCTTCCACTTGAGAAGTACATTGCACAGAACAACTGCTCCTCATATGAGCTGTTGCAGCCTTATGGTCACACTGAAACCACCGACCAAGACGAACTTCCCCACTCACCTTTGATCATACTCACAAGAGGGCCCAATGAACAACAGTTGGCAGACATTGAAATTGAGAAAGGTTATCGTCGACACTTCGGCGCCCTAGTTCGCGCAATAATCAATCAAGGTTTGACTCAGGGGTCTGACGCTCAATTTGCAGTCACTCTCGATGGATTGGTCCACCGAGTGATCACATACATGTCAAGTTATCGACCTTCGATGGGGGCATACCAGGAGAGCATTATGCACTGAGAGCTCTCTGCTGGCTTGCTTGGGTCCAGATGGGTCTGCGGGACCACATAGATAGTTCCGATGGTTGGCTGCATATAGTAAGGTAGCCCAAGGCTCACTTTGGGGCATTTTGGAAGGCGGTGCAACCTGGTGGATGGTAGCCTACTTCTGCACGTAACCAAGAATTGAAAGTTGACTCCTTACTCAATCAAGCGAAATGATTTATTTATTTCAATAAAAGTTTTTCAGTATGAGACGAGACAGTAACCTCAAGCCAAAGTGAAAAATGCCTAATATCGTCGATAAAGTCCACTGGCCCCTGGCGTGAATGACCTGTTTGGTGTAGTAATGATCTGGGAGCTTATGTACACTCACCTCACTAGGTATCCGTACCTCACAATAGGTTCACACTATAAAACCCCACACATCAAACGGCAGATCCACTTTTGACATCCAGCACTGCCGCGTAGGGCTGTGTTGCAGCTGGGATTCCCAAAATCTCCAAGTGCTACACCCAGGGAGTAAGAAAGCAGACAGCGATAGCGATGCTAGGGGAGGAAAGAAAACACAGGACCGTAATCCTAAGTAGCAAAAAGACTTAGGTAATATAGTCTAAGCTTAAGGTAGATTTTAATAAGTTTATTTTAGCGCCCTATACTAAGGTTTGCTGTTTTCTTGCCCCCCGAGGCGATGCTAAAATAACCTCTTCAAAGACCACACTAAGCTTAGGCAACTTGAAAGCTTGCCTAGACCTTTCTATCATCCGGTATTGAGGTCCTACGGTTTCCTGCCTCCCTATAGGCTATTCCAGAACTGTGTTACACTTGCTCAAGGCAAACAGCCCGGGGCTTGGAACTAGGCGTTGCTGCCTTGACTGGTACCATAGCTAATGACAGCGGAACTCCTTGATTGGATAGAATGTTTCTCAATTTCGTGGTAGGTCAGTCTCAGCTTACACAGCTTTGTCAATTGCTCTATAAAGCAGCAGGATGCTGACGGTTTCTTCCCTGGTCGACTCACTCTCTTATCTTCGGACTCTCTTGGCATAACTGCTTCTTGATTCCTGTGACTTTCGTATCTCTCTATAAGCTTGTTTGTTCTTCGGAATCGTCATGGATACTCCTGAGCCTCATGAACTCAACGTCGTTGAGGGCGATGACACCAGCTCCATCGTGAGCTTCGAGGACATCCACCCTAGGTCCAGGCCGAGATATAGACATAGTCCGCCCATGGTCTCTATGCCCAGGGTGTGCCCAAAAACAGAAATACTCAAGATCGATGGCAAAGTGCCAGACGTCCTTCATGTGGTCAAGTATCTTGGTTGGCAAAATAATGTCATAGAATGTCAGTTTTCAGCCATGTATTCTCAATGTTGATATTGAGCTAACCGTATGACAGGCCGTCAGAGCGACGCTGCTTTCAAGCATGTTCCCCCGTATGGATTCAATGGCGATATCAACCTCGTAGTTGATGACGAGGCAACTGGAGATGAGAAGCCCGTTATCGAGATCATCACGAAGGTCTTACCCCGGAGCCGTTCCCCCATCCCTATCCACCGTCGGTCTCGAGGGCCTCGAGACCAGGAAGACAGGCCGATTACTGAAGCATTCGAGAACATTGATTATCGCTACGACAATCTCTACCCCGATGAAGGTCAAGATCCCGAAGTTCCTGGTCCAGAAATTTCCCGTCCCTTCATGATCATTCATTCAGATCACCTTATCAATGCCCTCAAGGCCGTAGTAGCCTACTATCCTTACGTCAGCTTTGACGGCAAGCCTGTCAAGATCAATGCCCCTTACCGGGTCCTCTACCATCATAGACAGGAGCTCGCCCGTTACAAGGATAACCAACCATTGGCCCACGACACTGACTACGCCGCGACTACATCAAAGCATATCGACGTTCTCCTCAAGTTCCTTGACGATAACCTCGGCGATGAGATCCGTCGTGAGGAGCGTCGTCATCAACTTGCTACCCCAAGGGCTACCTTTGATCTTTTTTGGCTTCTGCTCAAGCCAGGTGAAGTCTTCTACGCAAAACGCTATGATATCTGGGCCCCATATGTTATCAGTAGCGTCACCATTGGACAGGGAAACAACTCCTGTGATGTGTATAACATTAATTGCTGGATGCTAGAGTCAAACGGCACAAAAGTCAATCGCTTCATGTTCAGCTACAACCTCTCTCCCTGGCTTGGTGAGCAAGCCATCGGGAGCCTTTCCATCATCCCTGCAGCTTTTTGGCCGGAAGACCTCGAAGCCCAAGGTGGAATGGCAATGAAGGAAAAGAACATTGCTCTAGGCAAGCTCTATTGGGAGCTCTTGAAGCGGCCAACTTATATGGATTACGAGGGACTTCTTGTGAATTCTGGGCCCAGCAACAGACAATGCCGTGGGCCAACCGGCTTCATGTGCGGCCGTGTCATATGTGATGCCCCCGGGTTTGATACATTTTATAATCAAGGACCCGATAACATGCGTGGAGGTCGCTACCATCGCATCCCGGTTTACAATGAAACCGCGCCTCCCTCCAAGGACCATCTTCCCAAGGATCTCCCGCGATGTGGCTGCGATGCCTGTATGGCAAACCGCCCAAGCTATAGTACCGAAAGCCCGTATCATGGATTCGAAGACCTTGATCCTACCCAAGACTCTCCCCCAGATAGTGACCTCTTCTATCTTGTGTGCAGCAAGACTATGCCAGGATTCCTCCTTGGCGACCGACGATGGGGTCACTTGAACATCGCCAACCTGAAGCAGCTGAAGACGGACAAGGAAGCTTTCAAGTATCTTGTTCTTGATGATGAGGTCAAGATGACTGTTAAGGCCTTGATTGGAAAGTTTGCTGCTGACTTGGGAGACGGGAAGCTATCCCCCTGGGGCAATGACTTTGTGAAGAACAAAGGAGAAGGCCGAATCTTCTTGCTCCATGGTGCACCTGGCGTTGGAAAGACGTGCACCGCTGAATGCGTCGCCGAGCTCACCAATCGGCCTCTTATTTCACTTACCAGTGGCGATCTCAGCGTCGACTCGTTCAATGTTGAGGCCAACTTGAGCTACTTCCTTGAGCTTGGTCAACGCTATGGTGCTCTTGTCCTACTTGACGAAGCGGATATATACCTCGAGCGCCGCCGCTCTAAGGATATTACCCGGAACGGCCTTGTATCTGTGTTTCTTCGGGCCCTCGAGTACTACCGCGGAGTTCTCTTCCTGACGACCAATCGTGTTCAGTCATTCGATACTGCATTCCTCAGCCGTATTCATGTCGCATTGCATTACAAGAGTCTCACTTACGAGGACTGTGAGCGCATCTGGACACATAACTTTGATCGCTTGAGTCGGGATTCAAACGGTTTGATCCATGTTTCTGGTGCGGCTCGCGACTTTGTGTGGAACAGTCATGATGTTCGTAGTCTGAAGTGGAATGGGCGAGAGATCCGCAATGCCATGCAAACAGCCCTCGCTCTGGCCGAGAATGAAGCTCAAGAGGAGAATTTGGAGCGGGTTACAATCAGTGAGAAGCATCTCAGGGCAGTTGTGAAGATGAGTCGTGGATTCCGCGACTACATCAAAACTGCAGTCCCCCTTGAGGGATTCGAGAACACTCTCAACGATTCTGACGAGGAGTGAGACGAGGAGACTCAAACTCTCTCTTTAATGTGTGCGGTTGTGATTTTATTGCTTTCGTTGGACGATACATGCAGTCAGGCAATATGTTTCGCAGGATCAGCGTCCATTCAGAAATCTCTTTATTAGTACTTTAGTCAGTAACGATTTATGACCCCAGATTGAATAAACGAACTTCATGATTAAAAGAAAGCTTTACGACGATAGAAAGATGTAACAGGAGAAATAAAAATAAGTGCGATTAGCCCTACAGGGTCTTCCGTCACCTCTACCAGAGTCTACTAAACCTAGTGATTTATTAAACAAAAACTGAAGTTTACAACAAGCTATGATCATTAGTAGAGTTTTCAATTGTTAGTTATGCAATAAGCTATGTATTATTGTTCATACTTGTTGATACATGTGTCTCAAAATCTCAGCCATCTGTTCAACGTCAACAGCATCCACTGCCCAACGCTCCAGTGTGTGTATTGCAAGTTCAATAAGCATCTGCCACTGATCAGGAGGATGAATTCGGTGCGGATTAGAGGCAGCAGCAAGAACAATACATGCGCTTAGGAAGATCTTACGAGATATCAGCCATGTACCGCCATGACGCCCTTGGAAAGAGAGACGATGGATCATTTTGGCGCAGATATCGAGTTCTTTGAGCGCAAGGGTGTGTACTTGAGGAAAGACAGGATCATCCTGAGAACAGTGCAGCAGGTAATAAAATATAGGGCGAAGCGTATACTCTTGCCAGAGGGATGCCCTGCCTTGAAGAGCAGATGCAAATTCCTCTTCTGGAAGTTTGTCTTTTTCAAACTGAACTGCAGCAGGAAGATGGTAATGCCTAAAGCTCGGTGCGTCAGCTTTGTATGTCACGCCAAGTCAAGTAGAAACTTACCATTGCGATATCTGTTGCTCAGATTCATGATACTGACGAATCAAGTATGCTGGGTGCTTCATCCAATACTCTTCCCCATTTCTGTACAAAAGGTTCAAGGTCTCGTCGACCGTACGCCGGATAGATATTTCGGACAGGTAGTAGTACCACCCTCGCTCGTCGACAGAGCGTTGCGCTTCATACTGATCGATATGCGAGCCTTCGCTTCTTGGAGTCTGCACAGTTCCAGCTAATAGGCCTTGCGGGGGTGTCGGAAGCGGCTCTGGGTATGAGAAACTCTCGAGGGCACTTGGTCGCAATCCTAGTTCAAAGACAAGCTCACTGCGAACTAATCAACACTCAACTATCGAATCTATTGGTGGTAATTACTGACCTTTCTGCTCGAAAACAGGTCCAGAAGAGTCTCTGCTCTAGATGATAGTCTGCTGGGTTGTTTTGCCGAAAAGGTACCCGGGGTCTTTCACCACGCTGGCGCAGATGAATCTCCAGACGGGAACAGGCTTGTTGAACGTAGTACCACGCCCTCAACGGGCGAAAGGCAAATTTCTCGAAGATGGTCGCCAAGACAAAACACTGAATATCTTCAATAGTATTCCCAAGAAGACCCATCCTCTTTTGCGCCGCTGCATAGTATGGTTCAGCCCTGGGGCCCTGGTCGGGGTCGTCTCTTTGCTGAAGCTGCTCCCGAGTTGGCAGGACAAGATACTCATTTGGCTTTATCCAAAAGCCAGTATATTCAGCCAGAGCACATGACAAGAGCTAAAATTGTTGGATTGGTAAAATATGAAGGGAAGTGGCGGGCTTACAACGAGGCAGGATGAAGTGTCCCATTTCAGACCATTCTCTTCTGTCGTACGAGCATGCCTCATGAGTTGCTGTCCGTCCAGAACCGGATTTCGGGGATGTACATGTGCAAGAAACTTTCGGCACAGGGTGACAAATGAGGATTCATCAATGCCCTTCCCGGTACTATTTGGTTTCTGTACACTGCTTTCTTTGTATCCCGGACTTAGTGGGAAGGAGTCAATGTGACGGGCATCACTCAGGATAATGTTGCTGAGGGCCGGCCATTGGAGCAGGGATTCACAACGTAGAGCAGCAAAGGGAAGTCGTTCAGATTCGTGCGGTTGCACTTGTGATCGCTTTTGTGTTTCGTATCGTTCACCAGCAGAGAACCTTGTCCATGGGCTGCCAGCTGCAGGTGTTTGGGGGGCTTCGGTATTAATGAGTATAGGCTCAACATCTGAGAAAGGTCGAGGTGAATCGTTGGTTTTCTGGAGTATCTCTTTGATTTCATCCAGGCGGTCCAGTATCTGACGATTGGAAACTGCATCTTCCACCCCCTCATTTCCCATCTCGCTGTCTGCGTCTAAATAGATGCACTTGGCTCTATGTCGCACACAAAAGCCACAAGTTGGACGAACATTATCGCACTTTGTCTTACGGACACGGCAGAATTGACAAGCCGTCACAGCGCGTTTCCTGCGAGTGAAGTCGGTGGTGGCCAGTCGCCGCTGTCGTTTACCCGATCCCTGGGATTGAGCATCATCGTGATCTTGACCGTCTTGGGAGGTGGGCTCTTCTGGCGAGTTGCAGGAGAAGCCTGGCGATGTTGCAGATGTGGTCGGTAACACGGTTGTTGTACTTTCTCTTCTGATGGGCGCACGAAGGTCGAATGAGTATGACATTGGGATCCGAGAGTTTGTGCCGGTCATGGTGGACGTCCATTCAATTACTGGCTCTTGACATCCATTCATTCACTCATTCATTGACGGCGGAGGCGGGGAAGAACGGACGGAAGCCCGATGTTGGAGAAGCCGAAGCGGGCAAAGGTCGACCAGAAGCTGGGTCTTCCGGCACCAATTTTTTTGTTTCGAAACCCATTTTTGGGGAATCATGGAAGACCATCATTGCCCACGGTACAGGGTGGAAGGTTGAAGGCGTCATCGCCTTTTGCCATTGCGGCATCGTCCCATGTTATGGATGTGATAAAGAGTGGAGTTTTGGTGTACTACGAGGTTGAGCTTTTGAGTATATCGATCTCGATCTTATCAAGAATACATGAGCTTGAAATATGTGGCATGTGTTCAAAGTGAGAGAAAATTTTAGGTTGCTGCATGGTGGCAATGCAAATATACCTACCTACTAAGCAAGAGGAGCCAACATCGTCAGTGTGTATATCCGTAGACCTGCCCGTGGTGTTTCCTACAAGTCAACATATCCGTATTGTCTCACACCGGGTTGGATGAACTTATGAAAATTGGCCAAAAATGAACGTTAGAAATGCGATTTAGATACAACGGCTGTGAAATCAGAATAAAGTGTGTATTCTTCTGGTAGATAATAGATGAAGTCTTTCACGGTCCCCCTCACATACAGTGACATAACCCACTGTCGATTGGAAAAGGACTGTTAGGTACACCATACCTTAGTAGTCAAGCCGTTGCAGAGTACCTAACCTTATATAAACGGTTCGTGCGAAGTTTGGTGGTCGCCTGGCTGATCCCTACAGTTCGTAGCCAAGCAGTATGTACTAATCGGAAGTTATCTCAAACTGCTGCAATTGTCAAGGGCATAATCCTGGCATAGCGATGGATAATGCCGTATTTTCGGGATATTTGATCCCGACGTCTCACTCCAATGTTTTGTCAAATGCCCGATGGTACCAGACTCCAGATGTTTTCTTACTATGTTGACTTGGTAGATATGTCTTAGATCTCGTTCGAAGGGGTGCTTTCTGCATCCTGCGCCAACCGATAATGCATGTCTCAGGAGACCATCCAAGTTTGGTTTGATGAGTCACGTCGCCGAGAACTACTCTGAATGGGTGTTGATATGGTTCAACAAGGATCACAGCAGATGCTGTCAAGTTGTTGATCATGAATTTCGGCAATGGTCAGTCTCCTACTCCGTATGCAGCATCTAAACAGTCTCAAGAAAGTCTATCCATTGCAGCTGTTGGTATCTGATCTTGCCCGCTCTGAGATCGCATATACTGACTGGCTTTCTTGATAGATTAAAACAAAAAGGGTTTCTACAATATCCGATCCAGTTTAATTCAATTGCATCTCTATTTGTCTGAGGCAGTCCGATGGGATGGATAAGACGGGATAGTATTGCCCGCTCATTGAAGGTCCTTCCATAAACGGTTCGCCGGGCCCACCTTCCAGATGCCCACTGAATTTAGCGATCTCCGCACGGGCCAAACGTCCCGGGAACGGCATTCCCAGCCCGCCGGGTGGACTTTCTGACTCCTCCGTATTACCACGCTCAGGGCAAATTCTTTAGTTAATCGCCAATGGAACTACGATGCGAAAACAGACTACTTTCAACAGAAATTTCAAGGCAGCTGCGTATAGGAAATCATACTGCCTGGAACTGAAATCCAGAGCCCAAGGCATCAATTCTACTGCCTACCTGCGGACACAACTCACCAGATCCTAGTCATCAAATCTATCGTTCAAGAAGGTTGCTGATTGTGCTGGACCTTGTTAGTCTCCGCCAACCACACGAATGGTTTGTGGTGTTGATTGGCGGGCTCGAAAAGACCCTGCATTGTCACCTCTAGTGGCTGACGAGCGGTGACAGAAGGATGCCGGCCTCATTTTGCTTAACGCAAGAGACACAAAAGAGGAGGCCTGTCAAAAGATCTTGCGCGAGAGCCCTGTAACCCCGGTGCCGGTTGATATGAAGTATTCTGTACTAGGAAGTACACTTGATAGCCGGATCCCGTTGATACCACACTATGGCATTCACGTTCTGCACATCATACCTTGCATTAGAAACGAACTATACTCTTTATGGATCGTTGATGCCTCGCCGTGAAGAGTCATGGGCAACCTGATATCAAAGGAACTTTTTCAAATCTGCTAGGTTCCCAACAACGGACCTTTGTAGGATATCTCGCAATCAGATCCTTGCCCCCCTCTACCAACCCCCCGAGACTATTTTCTCTCAACCCTGTTCGAGCGGTTTCTTGAAGCACTAAGACTATACTCGATCCAAAAACCGCACTTCTTGATTATCTAACCGAATCTTTCTGACGTTGACTCAATCCACTCACCACGGAGTTGAAGGGTCCCCGTCTTTCTTTTTTTACAAATCCTTGAAGCGGCAT